TATTTATATTCATTAGTAATAGATAATATTTTTTCAATTTAATGTTCAGTATTTAGCAATTAGTAATATATAATTTTTTTAAAATACTACTAAGCAAGATGCTGTTGGTATCAGGGTTGAAAGCAAGCCCACTAATACTTTTAATTAGTATTTATATTTATATTAATTAGTAATAGAGAATATTTTACTATCTAGTTATTAGTAATATATGGGGTTTTTTTTAATACTGCTAAGCAAGATGCTGTTGGTGTCAGGGCTGAAAGCAATCCGAACAATACTTTTAATTAGTATTTATATTCATATTAATTAGTAATAGATAATATTTTAGTATTTAGTGCTCAGTACTTAGCAACTAGTGATATATAATTTTTTTTAATACTACTGAGCAAGATGCTGTGTGTGTCAGGGCTGAAAGCAAGCCCACTAATATTTTTAACTAGTATTTATTTTCATTAGTAATAGATAATATTTTACTATTTAGTTATTAGTGATATATAGTATTTTTTTTAATACTATGAAGCAAGAGGCTGTTGGTGTCAGGGCTGAAAGCAAGCCCACTAATACTTTTAATTGTATTTATATTCATTAGTAATAGATAATATTTTACTATTATTAGCAATATATAGTGTTTTTTTAAATACTGCTAAGCAAGATGCAGTTGGTGTCAGGACTGAAAGCAAACCCACTAATACTTCTAATTAGTATTGATATTTATATTAATTAGTAATAGATAATAATTTAGTATTTATTATTCAGTATTTAGCAATTACTAATATATAATTTTTTAAAATACTAATAAGCACGATGCTGTGTGTGTCAGGCCTGAAAGCAAGCCCACTAATATTTTTAATTAGTATTTATATTAATTAGTTATAGATAATATTTTAGTATTTAGTTATTAGTGATATATAGTATTTTTTTTAATTCTACTAAGCAAGAGACTGTTGATGTCAGGGCTGAAAACAAGCCTACTAATACTTTTAAATTAGTATTTATATTTATGTTAATTAGTAATAGATAATATTTGAGTATTTATTGTTCAGTATTTAGCAATTAGTGATATATCATTTTTTTAAATAGTAATAAGCAAGATGCTGTTGGTGTCTGGGCTGAAAGCAAGCCCACTAATACTTTTAACTAGTATTTATTTTCATTAGTAGTAGATTATATTTTACTATTTAGTTATTAGTGATATATAGGATTTTTTTTAATTCTATTAAGCAAGAGGCTGTTGGTGTCAGGGTTGAAAGCAAGCCCGCTAATACTTTTAAATTAGTATTTATATTTATGTTAATTAGTAATAGATAATACTTGAGTATTTATTGTTCAGTATTTAG